TTATCAGCGATCACACTGCTGAAATACTGTTGTTTGGATAAAAACAACATTCTATTGACAACTACGCATTGCCCAGAAAAACGCTCCTTGTCAGAAGCAAGTCCAGTCGACCTCCAACGACGCTCATACCTTCGTCTCAATTTCTTCTGAGAATCAATCTCAGGGGTATACCAAGGCGCCTTCTTGACGCGGATAGTAACAGCTCTACGCTTAAGCGGAGCATGAGAGTTAAGTGTAGAAGAAAGTACCTCATGATACTGCGATACCAGCATTGACAGGTCTGAATTGTCCTCAAGAACAAAGGAATCACTGATATCACATTTAAATGATTCAAGACAGACAGACTTTAAATTTCTAAGCGAGACAATTTTTTTCTTGCTTAGAGGTTTCACAAGATTTAGGTGACAAAGAACAGGAAAATGATCAGAGATAATCAAATCCGACACACGGGTGTCAGATACCAGATCGTYATCAGTACGAGTAACCATAAGATCAAGAGTATGACCACCATTAGACGTAGGGCAAAGGACGTGCTGCTTGAGGTTAAAAGACTCAAGGAGGTCAAGAAACCTCTTCCCAGTGGAATCATTGGCATCATCGATGTGGAAGTTGAAATCCCCAACGAGAAGGACAGTTTCAGGTAMAATAACAACTTTCTCAAGAAAATCAGAAAATKCAGTAAAAAATAATGAAATTGTCAAACCATTAACTTGTGAAGGAGGAGGGCGATAGATAACAAAAATCCTTACATTAGTTAAATTAAATAATAAAGTATCAAGGTATTCAAATGAAGAAAAAGTGTCACAGTGTTGTTTCTTAATTTGGAGATTGTTCTTATAAAGCAAACCAATACCTCCACCGCGCTTGTTGTTGTAATAACTGCTCCATCGTTCGTCCACTCATCAGACGACAAACTATGGTAAATTTACTTTCAAATTTTCCATCTACAATATGAAGTGAACTTCAATTTTCCTATTTAAAATCTCTTCAATTGTACTTGATATAAACTCAACGATAATGGTTAATAATAATAATAATAATAATAATAATAATAATAATCCTATTGATCAGCTCAACTATAAAATATTTGACCAGATCAATAGGTTTTAACTACTTCAGTAGCCACACACAATTAACTTAGTTTTTCTTATAACGACTAGGATTTTCTGTAACATTTAACCGAATTATATATCTTTTATTTTTAGTCTTTTGTAACTAATTCCATATACACCTATATTTCAGAAATCGTTGTCGCACCAAAAGCCTCAAGTAACAAGCCAAGACCGCAGAGAACGCCGGTACTTTTAGCTGAAATTAGTTTATTCATGGTGCATTTTCATTTATTGACTTCACAAATTGCTCCAAGCAAGGCTGCTTGAGATGATAATTAGTGTAGAGCTATAGCCACTTGCATGAACCAAGAATAAATCAATTATAATTAAAAGTACCAACGTTCTCTGGAGCCTTGGCTTGTTGCTTGAGGCTCTTGGTGCGACAACGATTTTCGAAATAGGTGTATATTTTCTGTTTGTGGGTGAATGAATTCGAACTTGAGCTCCACTAAGATGTATATGCATATTCAGTCTAACCTAATATTCACTATATAAGTAAGGGGTTCATAATGCAGAATTTCAGTTTTTTTATTGATCCTCGAGGAATATTTGAGGTATACTTGACTTTCCATGAAAAATTTCTTGTATAAAGACAACCAACGAGTTGAAACGTGTTTAACATTTTTGCGGGGGCCTTCTTCCAGAGACACTAACTTCTTGTTGGGGAGGGGTGGAAAGCACCAGGAAGAGGAAGATACGACGTGGGTCTCTCTTCTTTCCCTCTTCCCTTGACCCTTTGCGCGCGCTCTTAAAATAAGAGAAAACTGGGGACGAGTCAGGGGACAGGCAGCATATTCTGCGTGGCTTTTATTGCACGATGGTTTGTCGTGACAAAGCGGTGACAGTATACAAGAGTTATATTCGTTTAAACAGATACTCAAACTATCCTTTGTCCAGAGTTTCGACCCTGTAGATAAGCACTACAACTGACCATTATAATAATAATACAATAATAATAATAATGATAATAATAATAATAATAATAATAATTATTATTATTATTGTATTATTATAATAATAATATTATTATTATTAGATTTACGTCATCATTATTAGGAAAATATTTAGTAATTGATTCATCTGTTGAGAAAAATAATAAATAGTTGGACCGATATTTCATATTATGAATTCAGAAAGCTGGTTCAAAATTCTCGACTTGCTGCAAAACTTCTATTGAAAGAATATGAACATACCAAAATATTGGGTGACATATGCCTCTAATCTCGGTCCCAGACCCCCATTTTATTGCCGCATGGAAAACTCGTGGAGTACCCTTCTCTGAATCCTATTTACTTACGCTGTAGAAAATATTAAATTTACATTTATTTATAAGTTGGACTCAAAGCTCCATTGGCTTTATAAATACCTGATACGCCCATCATTATTACACGCGCGCGTGTTTAATATCCTCATCCAGAAGATTACATCATTCTTCAAGTGATGACATATTTCTGAAGGGTACTTGGTGGTAATGTGAGTCCGTCTGTCACACTAAGGGTAAACATCGCCAGTCTGCATCTATCGTTAGGTTACGATTGCCGTTCACCTTGCCTCAGCTGCGATTTCGATCAGTAGTAGAAAACTTTTACTACGCCTCTTTAACTATTAATGCTCGTTTGGGGTCTTCACTTGGTGTTCAAGTTTCTTGGCCTGATCATTCACATCCTTTGAACTCTTTTCTTAACTCAGTAATGGATCAACGTCGTGTAGTTATTCATTTATTGCTGTTCTTATTCTTCATGGTAAGTCTTAAGTTATTTTACAGTAAGTCTACTTTGTAGCAAGCTAAAGGTAAGTCGTAATTTCTTGAGGGAAGATACCAAAATTAATGAAGTTACAATTGCGTACCCTCTTAGCCACGAAGACACGGCCATCGTGGTTCTTAAGCAAACATTACTTTGGAAAAGGAAACTAGGTTCCGAAGTGATTTGAAAAGGTCTCTTGAGAATTGTGTGTTTTTGTAACAATTTTCGCAACTTGTGTTGTCAAAACTAGAGAGGCTAAGGTGCGTATGCACTTGAACGTTAACTAAAATGGCACGCAAATCCATAGACAACAAAACTCAAAGTGATGAAATGTTTGCTCCTTGTTTAGTAACTTATATTTTTGCCAAGTGCAGCCAAGACGATCAATGTAATACGAGTAACGTTATTACTTGGCACGTGAAAGAATAGTCAACGTAATATCGTTTTACTAAACACATTATGATCTACGATGTACTGGATTTTCATTTATTTTTAAATCGCTTAACTTCTTACATCCATTCAGATCTCATAGTGATCCATCGTATGTCAGCATTTTTGTCGTCTGTGACGTTTACAGCTATTTTCATAGAAGTAGACACAAATACGCATGGAAAGGTCAATAGTTATATTTTACCTTTAAATGTACAGAAAGGTAGACCAGTTAGTAGTCTTTTTAGTCTTATCAGAATGCTTGCAATTTTCGCCGAATTTTCACCAAATTGTCGTCACCAGCGTGCTCCATACGAGTGCTCCATATATATTTTTTTTGATAGGTGCAGAGCCAATCAGAGCGCGCGTTATATCTTAGTTACGTTATAACTTTTGTTTTACTTTGACTTAGCCACTAATTATGCAACTTTGTTTCACGGACCAAATAAAATCACTCTAGTGGTTCCTAAAGAATATTGATCATCGCAATCCCTGCATAAGGTGACCCAACATATGTTGAGGCAGATAGTAAGCGATTATGATATGATCCCTACTAACTCTCCAAACAAAACCTGGCTCTGGTGGTATGTGTCTATACCATCCAGGTTTACAGAAGGTTATTATTCAAACGATATCATGTCGTGGTCAAATCTTAAACTTCATCCTTGGACTGTTATCTTATTCGTGCAGCATTCGAAATCGTTTTTTAGCAACCTTCCTATACTTTTCTCGCATAAGTGCCCAGTCTCCTACTCATTTCTGTCGTTATTATTTGGTAAATTTTTAAACGCGCTATACTATGTTAGGATAACTTGTAGTACTGTCCTACATATTATCGCTATATTGTATTGTAGTTGATTTTAATTGGCCAATCATCTGTTTTGTTGGTTCGTTTGCTAGTGAAGTCAAGTAATCAGTAAAGTCACGATGATCCATAGAGTCACGTTAGCAGCGAAGTCACGTTTTGGGTGAAGTCACACGATTGGTGGAATGACGTGACTAGTGATGTTGTGTGACAAGTCACATCGGATTAGCGGAGTGGCATGATTAGTGAAATCGTCTTTATTTGAACTCATTTTAGGTTGGAGTCCAGTCATCGGGCAAGATGACAATCCTCTTACTCAACTACAAGAACCCAGATCATAAAGTCTTTAACGGCGACTGCTGTGACAACTTGAACTTTTGTAGCTGGAATGAGTGTGATAACCTGTTCAAGTTCTGCGCAACCGCACAAGGGTCGACTGAGTCGTGCTCGCTCAGTGGTGGTCAGTTGACTACCGGGATATTGGGAGATGATGATTTCTCATTTCCTGGTCAAGGAGGGCACCTTGGTGGTGGGCTGAATAACCCTGTTACTTTTTCATTCCAGGAATGGAAGGTAAGGATCGATAAAGAAGAGTAGCATTCGTTCCCCACCATTTACATTTAAATTTTTTTGTTTATCTGTTGTTGTTATACACGGTTTTTGTTTGTTTGCGTTTCTTCTTTTTTTTCCCTTCTTTTTTCTGTTCAGTTTTCCCTCTTTTGTTGCAAACACCGAAGACAACTATTTGATAACTTGTACGGATTTCCTCTTGTATCTCATAAGTATATCAATGTTGTGCTAAGGTTATTTGTCGGCTTCCGTAGCATCCACATCGTCCTTTCACATTACATTAGAGGCACCTAAAACTTCATAGACTCTTTTCCTATTTCAGGGTGTGTCAGTAGTCGTAGAGGTATGGGACGACGATGGTGGATTTATAGTAGGAAAACTAGCAGACTTTGTTGACAAATACACACTAATCGAGACAACTGCGCCAGACTCTAACAAATCTTCGTCGACACCTCGAGACAAAAAGCTGTGCGGTAAAAGATCGTGTACCAACGTGAAAGTTCGTGTCTATTGTGACGACAACTACTTGATCCCAGAATGCACCGAGTACTGCGTACCACGTGACAGCGACAAGGAAGGACACTATTGGTGTGACTATAGACTAGGAAGAAAGGTATGTCACGAAGGATGGTACGATGCGCTGACTAACTGCACCAAGAAGAAAAAAGAGTGTACGCCGAGAAATGATACGGTTGGAGGACATTATGACTGCGATCCGGAGAGCGGAGACAAGATTTGTTTGTCAGGATGGATGGGAAGTAACTGTACTCAAGGTATGTTGTTGTAAAGACTGTCAAATGTAACCGCACGTGACAATGTCAGTGAAAAAAATCACAGCGCGTGAGATCACTGGTCACCCAAAATGCTCGAACGGGGCACGGTCACGGGGCAGCGCGAAATGGCCTTGTTTTTTATAGTAATAAAAAAACAATGTTAAGCTAGTTTTATTTTGGAATTGGGTCATCTGCAATCATCTGTACAAGCAGATGATGTTCTTCTTGACAATAAAACCATTTTTATGAGATATTAAATGGATTGCGTGCCTTAATTAACGTCTTACCAAAGCCTTTTTTATGTTTTTGATCACAAGGACCCACAAGGAGTTTCAATTGGGAAATATAGCAGATTATTATCGGTATAACACTATAGCTTAGAGACCAGAGAATTCGATGGATATTACCCATTCTCTGTCTACGATCCCTGGATTCAATGCAAGCTATCGAATATGATGGTTATCAGTGATTTATTTTTATATATATTTTCGATTCTTTTTAGTTTATGTATCCAACTCTGTCATACCTTCTTCGTCAAGTAAAGAACTAACCAAGGACACCAAATCAACGTCTCTGCATCAAAGTACAATACAGGGGCTTTCATCTACTTCAGCAACCAGCACTGAAATACAACCAACACCAAGCCTCAGATTTCATTCAACATCTTTTGAGGATCTTAAAACCTCAAGGATAAGTGTGGATTTTTCAGGGGCCTATTCCAGCTCACAAACCAGACTAACTACAACTCAAAATGTAGAGTATAAGAGTACTGCATCTGCAACCACGATTTCGCCATCCACTGCACAATATTCTATGACTTCAAAGCTACAATATACTTCTGTAGCTGTTACCATGGAAATGAGTAAAGAAATGAGCCATTACATAATACAAAGTTCTGCTTCTTTGTTTGTAAAGGAAAGTTCAAGCTTTAGAGTTAGAACTAGTAGCTTACACTCTACGTTAGCAGAAGTAGCAACGGTATCCGAGGTTGGATCTTCTTACGAGACGCTGTCTTCGACGCGTCTACAGTATAAAACAAGAGAAATGTCGATAGATCTTTCAGCGACTGCAGTTCGATCTTCTGTCGCGGTAGCATCTACATTAGGGGCTACACTGATTGTACCGACAACAGAGTGGAACGATGAGCTTGTTTTGAATGTTATTCCCGGTAAAAACGTAAGTATTTGCCGAAAGAGGAACATAAATGAGACTGAACCCTGAAACAACCTCTTGGCTGATCAAAGTCAGGGCATGGCTAACTCACAGATTGAACCCTGAAACAACCTCTGGGCTGATCCAAGTCAGGGCATGGCTAACTCGCAGATCAAACCTTGAGACAACCTCTGGGCTGATCTAAGTCAGGGCACGGCTAACTCACAGATCGAACCCTGAAACGACCTCTGGGCTGATCTAAGTCAGGGCACGAGTAAACTAACAGATCAAATCGTAATTTAGCTTGTTGGGTTTGGTGGAGAGAGTCGAACCGTAAAAAACCCTCAAATCAAGGTCTAATCACATGTGATGCTGAGTCCATGAATCGAACCTGAGACTCCAGAGGTGAGAGACTATTCAGAAAATACTTCAAATAACATCCTTTATCCGATTTACTCTTATGTCTTGTCGTTCTCTTACATCTTGTTGTAAAGTGGACAGAAGAGAAGAAGGACAAGTTAAAGTCTGCTATCACAGAACAGGCTAACAAGTACTGCAAGCTTCACCCGACGTCGTGCAATATTGACCCAGATGTGTCCATTAACAGGTAATACACTCTCATTCTACTCATTATCCTCTTCCTATTTCACTCTCCCTTTCTATCCTGTTTCTCCTTCGCCCTATTTTGATCATTTGTTTATCATTTACCTTTTTACCATGGGCGTAATGATTACCCATTCCAGACCACGTGTAATTCCCTAGAGTATTATTTCTTTGTTTAACGGTTGAACATGGGATGACACATGAATATGAATACAACTCGAACAAAGAATCTAATTCTCGAGGGAATGATAGATGGTTGGAAATGGAAAATTATTATGCCCAAGGTAAAGAGATCTATTATTACGTGGTGCTTAGTGGACACATCTTGACTTTTGCGATGTCTGTTACTTCAGGACAGAGTTCTTTAACTCTTCAGACGTAATCATAATCGTAAAGAATGGATCCAATGACGCTGTATCTGTATCTGTACAAGTTAAACTACCCAGCAAATTACCAGGAATATCAATGGGAGGTATGCCTATGCTAATAAGTCTCCTGATTACGTTTGAAAGATCTCTATAAAATAACTGTTATAAATCTCGCGTTCTCATTAGTTGGGAACGGGTGGTTTATGAGAGCACACAGCACGCTTGCGCAATTTCTATTTTGTCAACTGAATAACGGTTATTATAATTTATATTTTATAAAAGATAAGAAAAACTATCTTTTTGTCCTGTGCGCAGTTGTAAAGCACACGGTGGCACGCGTTATAATAGTACAAAGCACGCGCGCGCTTTTTATTTCTTCAAAAGTACGCAGCCCTTGCGCGTAGATGGGAACGTTGCGTGACATCAAATCTACGACGGCCACGTCAACTGGAGGTGTAAATAATTTCTCTTTGGATATTTTACTCAAAGCGTTGTCAGTAAAGTCAACTCATCCATTTGAAGGCGCGAAACCCCAAAGTGAAGTTATTTACTGAGTCATGCCCGTTGAGTTTGCAGATGTTCGAAATCTATAATCTACTATTTGTCGTATAAGTATATATTTTTCTTTCTTTCTTTAGGTACTTTGCCCTCAGTCGTGCTCAAGAAGGTCATCACAGCAAACAAGAATACCATAGAAAAACAAATCGGTCTGAAAGTCTCCTTAGAAAGTTCGTCATCATCCACTACCACAGTAACACAACCAACTATACAACCTACTACTGATGCTGTAGTGGTTATTGTCAGTACTCCTTTATCTAGATTTACTCCGTGGAACTTGTGGATCTACATTGTTGGTGGTTGTGTTGCTTGTCTGTTGTTACTGGGTGCGACACTGGGGTTTAAGTATAAAATGAACAGGTTTGATATTTCCCTGGTTATAAACCATTCATCATCATCATCATCTCCATTTTATCTTTTTTCTTGTGCTCTTGTTGGTAAATTCTTATTTCAGTTCTCCTTCTCCCTCTCCTTCTTCTTCTCCTTCTCCTTCTCCTTCTTCTTCTCCTTCTCCTCATCCTTCTTTCTCCTTCTCTTGCTCCTTCTTCTCTTTCTCCT